CTGCTGAACTAAGAAAATATTAGTTGATGACAGAGCTGCTGACTATGTGAATGTCTGTAGACCAGTTTCTCCTGAGCCTAAAGACTTGGAAATCCAACTTTAAAAACTGACTGAAAGAAAAAAAAAAGACTGTAAGACTGTATCAAGCAGGCAGGGATTCATGAAAGCACAAACTAAAATCTTTACCAGCTATACAGAACCGTGTGGTCACTACAAAAAAATGTAGAAATATTATTGAGAGTCATGACACACTATTAAAAGAAACATGAAAGAGAGTGAATTCTTTGCATGATGCTGTGCCATTTCATTTGCTTCCAGAAGAAACATTCATTTACTTTATATTCCATAAGGAAAAATAATCTTCATTACTCACCACCGCAATTTCCTTATGAAACTTGGCCTCTAGGCTAGAGACATTTTTGAAAGTACTGACATAAAATCCAACTCGTCTACCATGTAGAGATACAAAGAGGAAAGAAGAGATGGGAAAGACTGGTCAGCAAAACTGTATTTTCAATGGCAATGACATATATTAAAGACAGATTTTCTTTACGAAATTTTGAATAACATTGGATTAAATAAAAATACCTGACCCAGAGTAGGCTCAACTTTCCTGATTTGTTAATGAACAAAAAGAGCTTCTTTTGGTATACAGCACAACCTTTCCTAGAGTGTTGGTAATAACCCCAAGAAATGGTTCTCACACTTCAATGTGCACCAGGGTCACTTGGAGGTTTGTTTCTGATTCAGTAGGTCTGAGGTGGGGACTGAGAATTTGAATTTCCAACAAGCTCTAGGTAATACTGATGCTGCTGGCTCAGAGATAACACTTTTGGAACCACTGCCCTAAGCATTTGTGTTTTAGATTTGTATCTTGTAAAAGTTTTCAGATAGAGAAGTTTATTAATTTTTACAAAATATAAATGGTCTAGTTTTGGTATCATATATTTGGATTCTGAAATTTGTTTGATAGAGAGAAATAAAAAAAACCTACAAATTAATTACAATTTTTCAGCTGAAGTGAGAGTGTACTTTCATTGAACAAATAAAAACACAAGCTATTCATTTGAAATACCTCAAACACATTTGTGAAGTAAAGTCATGGTGGGGGGCTTCTGTGAAATGAGCAAGGTCCCCTCAGTCTTCATTTTTAGGTCCCTAATAGTAAGCACACCAGTCAGCCCAGTGAATTCAGCCCAGTATCCCCAGTATAAGCTCCCTCTGCTCTAAATGAAGGCTCTTTGGACTCTATATTTAATTCAGTCCTTCTGACTCCATCTGAGTAAATCACTACTTTGATTTAATTCATGTTCTTTTTTCGGTGACATTCTCAAAAATCATCCCAGAATCCTGATTGGTTAATTAGATTCCAAATGCCAATCAAGAGCAAGAAAGGACCAGAAATACTAAATAGGTCTAATATATGGAGTAAACATATATTCAGGGAGTTTATAATAAGAATACTTATTGGGGAATAAGAATGTGCCCATACATAGTAGGCACCCCTCTTATTTAAACAAAGAGTTAAAAGGGTAGAGAAAAGGGGGCTTCTAGTGGCTTAGCTGTGCCTTGTGGTGAGTCAAATTCCAAACAGTAGAGGTGGATGAATGTTGCATCATCATTAAAGCCAATAAAAAGAAGAGCCATCTAAGCACTTTCTTATATTCCCTCACTTAACCCTCATAACAGCCCCCTAGGCAGTGATTCTCATTTTATATCCAAAAAAACTGAGGCACAGAGAGTTTTACTGTCCCAGGCCATGCAGTTAATAAGTAGAGAACCAGTATTTGGTTGCAAAAGGAGGAAAACGCAATAGAAAAGCATGGAACGTTTGCCAAGAAATTCTGCTGAAGCGTGAATGTTGTTATGTCCATGCTTTCTCATGAATTACGTGGTTTGGAATTTTAATAAAATGAAAGCTAGAAGTTCAATTTAGAGGTTCGGAAATGAAACAGTAGTTGAGTGCTAAAATCCATTCTACCAATAAGACTTACTTCTCCTATGGCTTAACCTGTACCTTAGATTCCTACCATGTTTCACTTAATCTTTTTTTTCTTTATAAGATTAGTTTATTTGGGTTTTCTTCCTCCTTTTTGTCAGCTTCATTAAGGTCTAATAGACAAGATTGTACGATATTTAAAGCAAAATGATTCCCCCAACTAGTTAATGAACACACCCAGCACCTCACATATTTATCTTTTTCTTGTAGAACATTTAAGTTCTATTAGCAAATTTCAATTATATAACACAGTGTTATCAACTACGGTCACCATATTTTACATTAGGTCCTCAGTCCTTATTCATTAGAGCTGAAAGTTTGTACCTTTTACCAACCTCTCCCTACTCCCCGCCCCGCGACCAGCACCTGGCAACCATTTTTCTACAGTGTTGCTATGAGTTTGCCTTTTTTAAAAAAAGATACCACATATAAGCGACACCATGCAGTATAACCTCACACCTATTAGAATGGGTATCATCAGAATGACAAGAGAAAACAAATGTTGGCAAGGATGTGGAGAAAACGGAGCCCTTGTGCACTGTTGGTGGGAATGTAAATTGGTGCAGCTGCTATGGGAAACAGTATGGAGATTCCTCAAAAATTTAAAAATAGAACTATCATACGATCCAGCAATTCCACTTCTGGATATATATACATGAGGGAATGGAGACAGAATCTCAAAGAGGTATCTGCACTTCCATGTTCATGGCAGCGTTATTCACAATAGCCAAGATATAGAAACAATCCGAGTGTCCATCAACTGATGAGTGGTTAAAGAAGATGTGATATATAGATACAATGAAACATTATTCAGCCGTGAGAAAGAAGGAAATCCTGCCATTTGTGACAAGACGTATAGACCCTGAGGGTATTATGCTAAGTGAAATAAGCCAGACAGAGAAAGACACATGAATGTTTCGCTCAATCTTAATAATCTTTATCTACAGTGATCATGTGGCCCTGAATTAACCTTTTTCTTTTAATTGATTGAAAGTACAGTTGAACCTTGAACAACACAGGTTTGAACTGTGCAGATCCACTTACACATGGACTTTTTCAATAAAGATAGTACCTGTATTTTCATTTGACAGATCTTTAAATTAACTAAGTGTAGGGGAAAGCTTGTGTTCAATAAGAGATCGTAATATGTGGAGTCAAAAGAGCTAGGGTTTGAGTTCTGATTCTAGCTGAACTGTTTCAGTTTCCTGCCCTTGGATGAGTCATTTATCAATTCTTTTGTTTTTGAGGCAGAGCTAGCGGTACTCGGATTTTAGACTGTATGGGGGTCAGCAACCCTGCGTTGTTCAAGAGTCAGCTGTAATATACATAATCATGTATATGTCTGTACACACACACACACACACATTAATAATAAAGAAAATCCTGGTACAGTGTGTTTGGGAAATAGTTAGTACACGGAGGGTCAGATCAGAAGCCTGGGAGGTGACAGCCTGGGGAGACAGAGGACCTTCCAGACCAGGAAGCACGCATTTATTTGCAGGCAACAGTTACGTACAACCCATGGCCCTGTTGGACCTGGGAAAAGGAGAGGACTTGGACCTGTATTTGAGGAAGCTAACTAAGGCAGAGGCTGGATGGGAGAGGAGAGACTGCACGTGTCCTGACAACATCGTGCAGAGGGACCCAGCTCTTGCATGGTCTGCAAAGGAGTCTTCCTGGGGCACTTGAACTGGCAGCCTAGGACCCCAATCATGCAGACAGTAGTTCCTCATTCAATTACTAGACAAAGAGGCCATCTAACTCCGGCTGCACACCTGGTGGTGGGCTAAGGTGGCTCCAGACACTAGCAATCCAGTTGGAGGAGCACATGAGGGCTGACTGATGAACATATGCTCCATTCATACTGGTGAGAGAAAGAAGCAGATTTCAGAACAGCATGCGAGTGTTAAAGGTACCACAAAAGGCCGTACGTGATTAAATAGCAAAAATTAGCAGATACGCCAGAAACAGCTGAAGGAACCAAGAGGAGAGGAAAGTGATGAGCCCTGTGCCAGCTGCAAACATCTGCTTGAGACGACAAAGAGGCTGCCCTGAAGAAGGGTCAGATTTAAATAGAGAAGGGGGAGTGGGGTGAAGTTGAAGTTGATGGTGGGTATCGTTTCATTTGCATCGACTTTTCACTATAATAAACAAAACCCTAATGAAGACCTATGACTTGAACTCCGGGCCCAGCTTTACTAGTTCCTTTGAATAAGCTTCTTGACTGTAAATACTGGGTGAAAGGCACAGAAAATAGAAGCTTCGATGGGCACTGCCAACCTGCTTCCCCTTCTGTTCTCTCAACTTTGAATGTGACTTCACACAAAACCTTTGTAAATATGATGAGAAAGAGTTAGCATCTCACCAACTACTTAATTATGTATGTTCCTTTAATGAAAGGTGAGTTAACATTTTTCTGTTCATTTATTTATCGCCCATTTGAATTTCTCCTTCTGTGAGTCATCTATTCATAGTTTGCTTATTTCTTGGTGTTGTTTTATTCTTCTTTATTTATAAGGGATTTTCTATTAAACATATTGAACTTTGAATACATTGAGCAAAAACAAGAATCCCCTTTCTTCTATTTTTAAATTCTGTTTCCTGATACACAGCCTATCTTGTTTATATCAATGATTATTTAGAGAAATAACTGGCACTAGAGAGAAATACCTTATTTAGAATGACTAAACAAACATCCACAATTTTCTAATATGTTTATTGTTTCCTTTTAGAACTGAGAAATTAAATCAACTAGATGTATTTAATTGAGAAAAAAGTTCAATATTTTTAATGCTACTTATCATATAGTGATTCTCTCCAATTTATGAAATCAGAGATTCTTTCAAAGTAGGGACTGCCTTGGTCTAGTTCATGAGTATAGGCCCAGCACCTAATATAGCAGAACAGGACAGAATAGGCATGCAGTAAATAGTCCATGAATAAATGAATGAATGAAAGAATGAGCAAATGAATGAACAAATTTGGCACTCATTCCACTGGAAGGGCACATTCTGACTATAACCTTGGCTTCTAAAAAACTAGCGTCACCAGCAGTAAGATATACACCCACAAAGAGTATCAAGCTCTGAATTCTGGTATCATCTGCTTGGGAGGTTTCATCTCACAAGTTCTTCATAAACAAGAGACTCTGAGACATTACCATTTCCCCAAAGGACTTGTCTGAGGCATCCTCAGGTCCCTCCTGGTCAGCTGTCAAGGCCAACTTAATTTCTTTATTAAGATGTTTCTTTGTTCTCGGAAATGGTGGAAAGGATTAAAAGCTCAGCTTACCGCAGTCCCAGCTTGCCAGCCAGGACACTAGCACCTCAGCACTGTCCTGAGGGAAGCCTGTCCCCCCTGGGAGCTGGTCACTGTTTCCCCCAGAGCGCCCTACAATGGAAGAATAATACTCTGCCTATAAGTCTGTTTCTGTTTCATAGATAGGTTCATTTGTGCCATATTTTAGATTCCACGTATAAGTGATATCATATGGGATTTGTCTTTCTCTTTCTGACTTAACCTCACTTATGATCATGTCTAGTTGCATCCATGTTGCCGCAAATGGCATTATTTTGTTCTTTTCTATGGCTGAGTAGTATTCCATTGTATATACGTACCATATCTTCTTTATTCATTCATCTGTCAATGGACATTTAGGTTGCTTCCACGTTTTGGCTATTGTGAATAGTGCTGTTATGAATAGAGGGGCGCGTATATCTTTTTCAATTAGTTTTCATCTTTTTCGGATATATGCCCAGGAGTAGGATTGCTGGATCATATGGTAATTCTATTTTTAGTTTTCTGAGGAACCTCCATACTGTTTTCCATAGTGGCTACACCAATTTACAGTCTCACCAACAGCATACTAGGGTTCCCTTTTCTCCACATCCTCGCCAAGATTTAGGATTTGACTTAAAGCAGTGTTGCATGACAAGCACAATTCTGTTTATTCAGGGTGGTGGCATGGGGGTACTGATGGGAATTGAGAGATATAAGGCCCCACTTCACCCAACAACTTCTTGTTCAACCACTGAGTGGGAAAACTGCACTTAATGGCATGAGAAATGCAGAACACCTATAAATAAGAAGAATAGTTAACATCTAAAATAGGAATGAAGTTCGGGTTAACAGGGAAGGGCTGAAAGTAGAGGCTTCGTATCAAAGACCGAAGACTAGATGAGCTATTGGAATAAAGGAAGTTCTTCCAAAAGCTAAAAGAGTATCCCTGTAAATGTCAAGGTTAAGGACAGTTCTCCTAATGCTTCTTAGTTGAGATTTGGGTCTCCACCTAAGAAATATACCAAGGTCTAAAACTGTGCCATCCAATGTAGTAGCTGCTAGCTACATCAGGTTATTTCAATTTAAAAGAATTGAAGAGAAATCATTTTAATTTAAAATTCAGGTCCCCGGTCACACTAGCCATATTCCAAGCGCTCACCAGCTAGCCACGTGTGGCAAGTAGCTATCATATTGGAAATTATAGATTACTGAACACTTCCATTGCACAGTGCTGAAGCATCACACGGAATAAGACAAGATAAGGAATATTCTCTGTTCGTGAACTTCTATAACCTGTACAGAAAGATCTTTACCTTGACCATAATGATGGTAACTCTTCTTGTAAGTCAACGTTAAACTCTTCAAACACTTTCTGTGCTTTCTGAAATTCCTCTTCTGCCTAGAAGTGACACATAACATGTTTACACTAAAAAATATCACATAGACACAAGCCATTTCTAGACACAACATCGCTTAATATAAAATAGGAATAGCTTTATGGCATCCTGGAAACATTCTGGGGAGGAGAGAATCTGGTAAAAATCCACAAGATTTTTTTCAATAAAAGTGAAATACTGGGGACTTCCCTGGTGGTGCAGTGGTAAAGAATCCACCTGCCCATGCAGAGGACACGGGCTTGATTACTGGCCCGGGAAGATCCCACATGCTGCGGAGCAACCAAACCCATGCGCCACAACTACTGAGCCTGCGCTGTAGAGCCCGCGAGCCACAACTACTGAGCCTGTGCTCTAGAGCCCACGAGCCACAACTACTGAGCCCACGTGCCACAGCTACTGAAGCCTGAGTGCCCAGAGTCCGTGCTCTGCAACAAGAGAAGCCACCACAATTAGAAGCCCACGCACCGCAACAAAGAGTAGCCCCTGCTCGCCGCAACTAGAGAAAGCCAGCGCGCAGCAACGAAGTCCCAACGCAGCTAAAAATAAATAAATTAATTAATTTTTTAAAAAAGTGAAATACTGAATCTTATTTCAAAAGGAAAACGTGACTGATTACAATGGTTGCTCTTACAGAGTCATTCACTCTACAAAAATGCACTAACAGCCTGTCACATACACCGCTCTGCTCGGGATACTGGACAGGGATGCTTCTCCAAGAAATTCCCTGTCTAGTGGGAAGTCCAAGTAATTACACTACAAGAAAGGGCTTCTAAGCTGTTACGGAGCATGCTATTAAGGAATATGGTGCAAGGAATAGAGAAGGTTCCATAGGGCAGGTGATGTTTTAACTTGATATCAAATCTTGAAGAATGAGCAAATGTTTGCTAACAAAGGGGATGGAGAATGCACTGCAATACATAAAAGGTGGAGCTGCTGGATTGGGGATGCTAGCTCACTAACCATGTGGACTTATCAGACTGCTCCACCTTTGTGCACCTCAAATCCGTAAAATGGACATAGCAATGCCCACCTCACAGGTGTTGTGAGTATTAAAGAAAGAGGATGTAAATGAAGTGCTGAACATGGTGCCTGGCACCTCAGGGGCTTCACGTGAAGGGTAGCTCTTATCACAGCTGCTCAGCAGCTGGTATTGTAGGTCACAGAGGCTCCAGCTTAGGACATGTGTAGAGGAAGAAAAGGAGGGGAAAGAAGACTTGAAAGTTGACAAGGATGGAGAGGTGAGTGAGAACCAAACTGCGAAGGTTGCATGGGCCATGGTAAGGAATTTAGAATTTTTTTTCTACAGGCAATGGGAGCCATTAAAAGATTTAAGCAGTGGAGAAACTCTATCTAGATATGTGCTGCAGAAAGGCCATCCAGGCAGCTGTGTGTGTGCAGATGGGGGAAGGCAAGACTGGATGCCAAGTGAGAAGTCAGCAGGTGTCTCCAATGAGTTGTCAGCCAATGACTGACATACGTGGTAAAAGCTCCGGAAATGGGTTTTCTAAAAGAAAAAGAATGTCATGAAATTGTAGTACACATCTGTACTCTCAAGCACAATTTATGTCTGAGAATTTCATACTCGATTTCCTAGTTGAATCTGCATTCTGGCATCAAGTACGGAGCACGACCAAAGAAAGAATGTAAGGACGCGTTACCTTCTTTGATCGGCAGTACGGTTGGGGGCGAACGCTTATGATGATGAAAATGTGAGTCAGTGTCACCCATGTGAACTCTACTGTGACCTGAAAACCCTTAATGTTACTTAAAAATTATGAACAGCAGCCCACAAGCACCGTACTTTAGTTTCAATTCTGTCCTGATTCCAATCTCCACGAGAAAGGGAAGATTTCATTTTCAAAAGCAAAGTTGCGATAGGTGACTGAACATGGAGAGTGGTGACAACAGTGGGATCGGCCCCTACCTTAGAGATGCGACTCTCGTCCTTCCTCTTGGAGCTCTGCAAAGCCTCCAGGTGGTGGCGGGCACTGTCGTAGTCCACCAGCTTCCTGCTGCGCTTTGCGATGCGGTTCTGCCAACAGGGAAACATATGCACTAAGAAAGAGACGCGGTCCGAGACTCTCTTCTTGACTGCCGAAATGCCTTCCTTGTCCGCAGTAGCTGGGGACCTTGACCGGGGATCGAGGTGAACCAGAACTTCACTAGACAAATGATCCCTGGAAAACAGACTACAGCCTCCGCTCCTTTGTGTGAAAACCATTAGGTAAAGGCCTCCCTTCCGAAAATAATTAGGAAAATCATGAGGAGGTGAAGGCTGAATTTGCAGTCAAAGACCAGAGAAATTCCAGAACTGGTTGAGGGAAGCACATAAACCTATACTCTCTGTTAGTCTCTATTCTAGATCTTTAAATGTTCCATTTTGAAGATAGTACAAGAATGTATTAGGATTTGGTTTTATAATTCTCATAGCACTCACACTAACAGCAGTTCTATAAATCAGATTTACTTCCTAAGAAACCCTTTTTCCTAGAAGTGTTTGTCAATCCTTTTGTTCATTCAAATTATCTGAGGAGATTTAAAAATATACTGATTTCTAGAGACTTTTGTTTCCAGTTAGGATATAGAGAGCTGCAAAGAATGTTACTGCCACACTAGCAAGAAAAAAATCTGGATAATTTATAAAAGCATAAATTGTCTTGATTGTATCACAGACATGAAGTCACAAGGCAATAAAGGAATCTCAATTCCAAAGAGGGATGAGTCTCTTCAAGGAGAGACGAGACACACCAACTCTTTCACCTTTGGCAGGTAAAAGCTGTGGCCACCATACAAGTGGACAAGAAATAATCAGCTAAAATTTTAACACATTGTTTAAGGTCTATTGTGGGCTAACGTGTCAGTTTGGAATAGCTGGGTGTCCAAGACACAAAGGGAAGTTGCACTTATGGGCAAGCTCTTTCCTTGGGCCTCCATTGGATGCTATGAGAAAGTCTGGGGACAAGACACTCCCTTGCAGTGCAAGTGAGAATGAGATGATCTCTGATGGCTATGGGGGTAGAAAGACAAAGCCCTGCCCATTCCCTTGGACATTTTTCTCTTTACAGAGCAAAAGCCTTAAGCCGCTTGAGGAGGAAACAACAGATCCTCTGGTCCACAGAGACCAGGCAGAGATCCACTGATTCTGGGGGAAAGGTAGAAGCAAAATCTATCTGGCCCCAGTGATGGATAGGAATCCCTTGGGCCCCTAGATATATTCAAAAATAATTGTAACACACAGAAGAGTGGGAGAAAAAATCTCAACCCATAGGGGAGGAACATAAAACCCTCTTGGGCCCAAGATCTGATTCCTACAACAAGAAGAGGTCTGATCCCACTTTGGCAGGGTCAGGAAACTCCTGTTCAAGCTCAATCACAGATACGAAGCCGACTCTGCCTAAGACAGGCCAGGAAAGTATAACATAAAACAGCCTTGCCTCAACTCCAAGCCCAGCACTGAATAACAAGAAACAGCTGCCTACCACTGGAGAAAGGCCAAGTGTATGGAGAGAGACCCCCTCTGAAACACTGGCACACAAGGACACCTGAAATCTGAGGGAAGCAGGAACACTGAGAAAAGCTCTCTGGCATCCAAGGGCCCAACCAATGTGGGTCAAAGTAGAGGCAAAAACTAGACTTCAACCCAAGAGCCTGAAAATTTTCTAGATGTTAGACTATACGTGCAAGGTATTAGCAGCCCAATTCTAGAGGAATTTGAAAGCGACGGTGCACTGAAAGTGACAACAGCAACAACAAAACACAAATCCAGCTCAAGCTGCAAAGCAGATTAATTTGAACTGTCACACTATTGGCTTGACAAAAAGGCATGCCCATTTCCAGGCATAAATATTACTCCAGTCTTCACTATTCTATACACGATGTCTGGCATTCAATCAAAAATTTTGAGACACACACATTAAAAAAAAGAAAAACGGCCCATGAGAAAAGACAGAGCAAGCAACGGAACCAGATTCAGACATGACCCAAATGTTGGAAGTATTAGTAATTTTTTTTTTGGGGGGGGGGCGCTGCACCCATGCAGCATGTGGGATCTTAGCTCCCCAACCAGGGATTGAACCTGTGCCCTCTGCAGTGGAAGTACAGAGTCTTAACCACTGGACCACCAGGGAAGTCCCCAGTCAGTAATTTTAAAATAACTATGACTAATATGTTAAAGCATCTAGCTGGAAAAGGTAGACAAAATACATAAACAGATAGGGAATTTCAACAGATACATGGAAATTTAGCTAAATGGAAATCAAATGGAAATGATAAAATTTATCAGAGAGGAGAAATTTCTTCATTAGACTTAAAACAGCTGAGGAAAGGAACAGTACAGTTCAAGATAAATGAAATGAAGAGAAAATTTTCTCATTAAAACACAAAGAGAGGGACTTCCCTGGTGGCACAGTGGTTAAGAATCCGCCTGCCAATGCAGGGGACATATGTTCGAGCCCTGGTCTGGGAGGATCCCACATGCCGTGGAGCAACTAAGCCCGTGCGCCACAACTACTGATGCTGCGTGCCACAACTACTGAAGCCTGCACACCTAGAGCCTGTGCTCCACAGCACGAGAAGTGACCGCAATGAGACGCCCACGCACCACAATGAAGAGCAGCCCCGCTCGCCGCAAGTAGAGAAAGCCCACACCCAGCAATGAAGACCCAATGAAGCCAAACATAAAAATTAATTAATTTTAAAAAATCACTAAAGAAACCCCCACAAAGTGAGCAAAAGTTTAAAAAGAAACAGAATCAAGCATACAAGATCTATAATACAACATCAAATATCAAACAGTCTAACATCGTGTAACTGGAGTCTCAAAGAGAGGAGAGGGAGAGGCAGAGAAATATTTGAAGTGATAATGGCTGAGAATTTTATAAAATAAGGAAGACATCAAAGTACACATCCAAGACATTCATAGAATCCCAAGAGGGATAAATACCAAACAAGACACAGACAGCTACGCCAAAACCAAACTGCTTCAAATCAAGAATAAAGAAAAAAAATAACTACAAAGGTAAGAATTACAGAAGACTAGTCTTCAGAAACTGTGCAAGCCAGAATACAATGGAGTAGCATCTCTTAAGCACTGAAAAATAAAAAATCAAGAGAGATTTTTAGAATTCTATTTTCAGTGAAAATACCTTCCAAAAGTAAAGGTGAAAAAGTAAAGGTAAACGTTTTTTAAAAGACAAACAAAAGCTGGGGGAACTCATTGCCATATAAGAATTTTAATACCAACAGGAGCTGTACAAAGAAATGAGTAAGAGAAATGGTAAAAATTGAGGTAAATAGACAAGATTTTGGTTTTTTACTTTGAATTGCTTGAAAAGGTCACAGAACTAGAGAAAAGCAGAAACAATAGATCGTGGGCTTTATAACCTATGTATAGGGAAAATATATGACAATAAGAGCACAGGGAATGGAGGGAGGAGCTGGAAATACACTGCTGTAAGGTTCTTAGACTGTACATAAAGTGCTGCAACGTTACCTGAAGTTAGACAAGTTAAAGATGTACATTGCAAACTGTAGGGCAACCACTAAAAATTAAGTTAAAGAGGAACAACTAATAAGCAAGTAGTGTAAGATATACTGATTCCTGAGCCCCAGACTAAGAGATTCTGATTCTGTTAGTCTGAGGCAAAGTCCAGGCATCTGTCCTTTTTAAAAAAAAATCCCCAGTGGTCTAGTTGTGCCCAGCTAGTCTAATACTGAGAACTGCAGAAGAGGACCCTTAAAAAACTTTCAATTTCATAGGGTAGGAAGAAGAAAAACAACAATAATATAAATGTTTATCATTTACAAAACATAGTCCTCTGGGTCCTCACAGCAACGTCCAGTATGGGTGTTTCAGGGATTTTCCCATTTTACAGGTAGGGAATTTGAAGTTGCATGAGATTAACCTCTAACTTGTCCAGAATCACTCAGAAAGTCTGTTGCGAAAGATGAATTAGGTATCAGCCCCGGGACCAGTGCCAAGAGTAGGGTGACTCCAGTGAGACACCTAGGGCACAATGTTTAAGGAGGCTCTCACTCTTGGGGTAATGTTAGTGCAGGGTCAGCAGTCCGAGTAGGTGCCTCCTTATATTTTGAACCCTCGTGCCCTCACCTGTCTCGCTCAGTCCCTGCCCCTGATGCTTGGTTAGTACTCTTTCTAGCACTGCCCAGGTGTCTCTGTCATCCAGCTACCATCTGTCGCTCTGTGCTACTCTGCTACACCCGCTTCAGGGGTGATGACAGGTGGGGTGGGGCAGTTACTCTCATTTAGCTGCTTCCAATCCCTTTCACTTTACCCTCTGCACCGACCACTTCCGACTGGTGTCAGTGGAAGGATGGTTGACATACCACGTTCACTCAAAATATGCGATGAATTAGCCCAGCAGAGTAGAGAGAAGGGTGCTAACAAGGTGACAAAGCTCATTACTTTCAGCAGACATCTGTTACCTTCCAAGGAGCACTGCCCCTTGAGGTAGTGGCCTTGTGTAACTCTGCGGAAACTTTTACAAAGCTCTGCTTTGTGGACTTGGTCGGGGGTGGGGAGGTTGTCCTTTAGTATCTTCCAAAAAAGCAAATCTTGATGCTTTGAAGATAAACTTGATTTTCGAAAAGAGCTGAAATCCAATTACTTCCAAGCCTGGGAACAGTGTACTGGATCATCTTATTTTTTGTTCAAAAACAAGAAGTGAAGTAAATAATGTGAGTCATTTTCTTGTGTAACTGACAAGTTAATTACGGAGTACAGCTTACCATGGCAGAAATGACATTTTGAAGGCCATCACTCATTTTGATGCATATATTTTTGTGTTGGCAAAACATATCAATCGTACTGCCTTACCTACCTGATATTTGGGAAACCTGAAAAAAGAACCACATCTCCTAAGAAAGGGTAGAGTTAATACACTATAGCTTTCACATGGAAAATGATACAATTCTTATTTAATCATCCAATAGTAAATTTTATTAAATAAATTTACTAGCTTAATCGTAAATCGTTTAATTAAATGGCTTTTAAAAATTGACTTATTTTAGTTATTTATTTCTTTTTAATATTTTTGGCTGTGTTGGGTCTTAGTTGCAGTGCTTGGGCTTCTCTCTAGTTGTGGCGTGTGGGTTTTCTCTCTCTAGTTGTGGTGCTTGGGCACGTGGCTCTGGAGCTGTGGGATCTTAGTTCCCTGACCAGGGATTGAACTTGTGTTCTCTGCATTGGGAGGTGGATTCTTTACCACTGGACCACAAGGGAAGAGTCTCAATTAAATGGTTCAATTAAAAGTTCTTCAGATTCCGCACTATGCATTGACCGTATGCAGTAAAGAAAATAATTTACTAAATTTTTTAAAAATTTCAACAATAACCCCAATTTGGAATTCATTTTGGCCCACTGCTGTAAATATATGCTTAATGGCTAATGCACAGCTGCCAAGATAAAATCTAAACTTCATTTTACAATAACTGCTAACAGCTGTAAGCCTGTGTAGGTTGGGGACAAGCTGGCTCTTATTACAACATTGATTTTAGATATCAGTGCTGCACAACAAAAACTGTAACACCAGGTGCCCTGCCAATCACAGCTGGAAAAGTCAAACACCATTCCCTCATGAATGGTACTGCACAGCCCTTGCTGATGGGCTGCAGTAAATATTTGGAAATTTGCCTAACCATGCACACCCTGTTGATGTTAATGAGTCAAGGAAGTCAACTGTGTTCCAGGCTTTGAAAATGCTCCACCGTATTTTTAATCATTAATCCTCCTTTTCATCAATAACCCATTCACTACATAATCTCTCAGCACTCACTTTATGAAGTGACAGAGTCTGTATCCACATCTAACTTCCGTCCATTGAGTAAAAGGCACAACATCTGTGTATGTTCACAGACGAAAAGTCTTTCAACTATTAGAAACAGCTATCCCAACTGCTCTCCAACCCCAGGTTGTTTCCTTTCCAAGTTAAACACTGCTATTTCCTTCACTGTTCACCATATGAAATGGTTTCACAATTGTCTATCTTGGTTGAAACCCTATGTGTATGCTCTAATATTCGAAATGTGACTTCAAAGAAACAGAGAGAGAGATTATGTAGGCTCTTTCCACGATGCAGGTAAAACCATATTTCATTTATCTTCAGGGAATCCAGCTAGATAACATGATTCCAAATCTCTCATGTAAGATGTTTCAGTAACTGGAGGATCATCATTGTGTATGACCTCAACCATGAACACCATGGACCACAGGAAAAGAACTGCTTAAACAGAATAAAAGGACTTCCCTGGTGGCGCAATGGTTAAGAATCCGCCTGCCAATGCAGGGGGCACGGGTTCGAGGCCTGGTCTGGGAAGATCCCATATGCCGCGGAGCAGCTAAGCCCTTTCACAACAACTACTAAGCCCACGTGCCACAACTACTGAAGCCCGTGTGCCTAGAGCCTGTGCTCCACAACAAAGAGAAGCCACTGCAACGAGAAGCCAGCACTCAGTAATGCAGACCCAATGCAGCCAAAATTTAATTAATTAATTAATTAATTAATTAATTAAAAAATAGAATAAAAGTTCCACTGAGTGTTTCAACAAACTGAAAAGACTAACCAACATAATCCATCATGAGTTTATTTTAATCTCTCTGTTTCAACAAAGGTACTTCTGTATGTCTTCTGAAATTTTATGCTCCTAGAGAGAATGGTCAATTTCCAAATAGCTATTGCTGGGCAGCATCATAACAAATAACAAACAGATCCTTCACACATTTTTGATGATACTAAGTTTTTGTTCCTGAAGCTCAACAACTTTTCAAATGTATTCTCCTGTAGTCAATCACAGCCTTTATTTGCTTATCTAAGTTGTAGTATCAAATATTATATGACTAATTTAGACAAGTTGCGACGTTCTTTGAAATTTTCAAGTAGGAAGACAAACGTTTCTTTTACCTAATTTATTAGGAATTGATTTTTATGGAGACTGAATCACCACGCAATAAACAGTATTCTAAAGTGTGATAATAATTCTGAGACTGCTCCACAAATGCTGCAAATTCCAAGGCAAAATGTCAATGCCTATCAAATTATCTGAAGATATCTCAAAACACATTCCCTGTGTACAGAATTTTAACTTTTTAAAAAGTTGTTTAATTTCTCAGAAAATTTTTAAAACTGACTTAATACCTTTCCAAATTAAGATGTAGCTATACAATGACTCGGTAAAGCATTCGGCTGCCTATTATGATAACATCACCTAGAATTCGTCATTTGGATTTGTTCTCTGGGACATTTTGCCAACAAGGCTAATGCGTCCAGTTTGATCCACTTAGGTTTTAGTCTGGTGCCTCTGGTGTCCCAAAACACACTTCGGGTGTTGGCCATCTAGCGTTAGGCATTCTGTGTGGGACTGAGGAAACTAATGTCATTGATAGGAGTATAGTTTTGGCCAAGAAGCTTCACTATGTTTCATGGCCAAGGGCGGTGCACATTATTGCAGATAGTATCCGGGTGTCTGGCAATGGCTAGGTCAGAAGACCAGGTAAAATGGAACTTCACGTCAGAGGTCACCTAGCAAGATACTGAAAATGCCCATGGACACTGGTTCATGGCCTCCTTGCTCTACAGGAAGGGCAGCACATGGCTGTCTTACCTAGCAGTCCTCTTTGAGCTGGGAGAACAACTAGGGAGCAGATCTATTAACGCTGCCATTTGCTATATACAGCCCTGATGGTTTAAAGACCATCTATACCTTAAGAATCAATTTCAAATCTGTGATATTCAATCCTTCACTTGTATATATTCCTTTCAATGAATCCAAGTGTCGAATAAGACAAATGTTTTAGACAAGATATTTTCAGATCCAGATGCAAATGTATTTGAAATGCTTACATCTTAAGAATTCAATGTGAACCTGAAAATTTCAAGGAGAGAAAAAATATGCAGGTGTACTATGAACATACACAAAATAAACAGTAAGGAAAAGCTCAGATTTTGCTCTCACGTGTGCAATGAAGTTTCTCCTTTCCTCAAGACCTTTGTTTATTCTAACGGAAATTCTTGCCAAATGCCATATAACCAAAAGGTTTGAACATAAAGAAGACTGGAATTTTTTGGTATCTCTGAGTTATGATTTTATATCTGTAGGATTAAAAAGACTTCTGTAGAGAAATAAAAGCTGAAACAGTTCCTTAAAGGGGGAAATGTGATTTCTGGAACTATATTTCATTTTAAACTGTTAGGAACAGGATAAAAATCTCATGCTTAAATAAATGAAAAGTTACCAGCTGTCTTTGATGTCAGCTTGAGGACTTTTACTTCTACTTATCTCTTGCCCATGTTTTAATGAGAACATGGGACCATTCAATTCTTCCCTTTATAGACACAGAATAAAATACCTTTATGTCAGGAAATTGGCCCAGATAGGTGTCCAGTGTCAGCAAGGACCCATCCACTAGTTTTTGATGGAAGTCTTCCCACAGCACATCACATTTCTGAAAGAAAAAGAGAAATAAAGAGACAACTGCAGGATTACTTTAATTGGATAACTTTCACCAACTTCTAAAAAACCTGAAACTATAAAATTAAATAAGTTCTACCTCCCTGGCTGGTAAATGCTAGAAAAGTGTGAATTATTTAAGAATACAGTAATTTGGCTACCAGTTCTAATTTATAATATAGGCTACCTAAGGGCTCAGCTCATTTAAAAATGTGTTTCTGATTCCGAATTACTAAAGAATGTAGAAACTTCAAAAGGTCCCCCGATTCCTATAAATGGACTTTGGGGCTAGGAGTCTGTGAAGAATTCCACCAAGACAGTTTGCTTCTGAAGCAATCCATGAAATTAGAAAGCACCCCAGACAAACAACAAACCATTGCTGAAGCCTCCACATGGAGAGCAGAAAATTTAGTCATACTGGGAAGGGCCCTACCATTTATGGAATATCAATTATGATAAACACAATGAGTATTAGATATTATTATTATTGTTACTCCTATTACTGTCAAGGCATTGGGTTCAAAGCTGTATGTGTCTCTGTGTGTATGTGTGTGTGTGTGATTTAATTCTCACAATAGCCTTATGAAGAAAGTCTCGTTGTTGCCATTATACAGAAGATGATGCTGAAATCCAGAGATGTTACATAGTTTGGCTAAGGTCATGCAGCTGGTATATGACAGACTCTGGTTTCAACCCTTGAATTTGAAGCCCATGATCTGTCGATGACACCAGGCTGCCTCACCAGAACAGAGTTCATAGCCCAGCTGTGTGACTTTGGAAAACTGAATGTTCCTGAGTTTCAATTTCTCCAAGTATGTGAGTCGACAACATAAACTTGCTTCACAGAAGCCCAGGCACGTGCACAAGAACGTCATTCCATATTCCTCCCATTACTACATCTGGCGTCTCCTGACAATGTCTACCCTTTCTTTTTTCTTAGCAATAGAACATCCAGTTTTAGCCGGGCACATGGCTGCCTAGGATACAGACCATACCTCCCAGCCTCCACTGCAGCCAAGTGTAGCCATGAGACTAAATTCTGCCAATGGGATGGACTTTCAGGAAGTGGCCCTAAAAGGAGGCTTGTCCTCCAAGCTTCCTCCTTCTTGCTGACTGGAAGACAAAACTGAGAGCTGATAGCCAGAGCTCAGAGTCATCTTGAACGTGGAGGTGGCAGCAGGGATGCAAAGACAGGCCCCTGATGCCCGTGGGTCCTCCATACCACACCTGGGCTGCCAACCTCCAAGGTTGGTTATGGGAGAGAAGCTTCTCTCTTGTTGAAAACCACTTTTTAATGGTTGATTTGCTTCTCTTTTTCACACGTTAAAACCCAATTCTAATTATCATAGATCCTTATTAAGAATTTTATGCAAACAGGGACTTCCCTGGTGGTGCAGTGGATAAGACTCCGTGCTCCCAATGCAGGGGGCCCGGGTTCGATCCCAGGTCAGGGAACTAGCTCCCACATGCAAGCCACGACTAAGAGTTCGCATGTCACAACTAAGGAGCCCATGTGCCACAACTAAGGAGCCCGCCTGCTGTATCTAAGACCCAGCGCAACTGAATAAATAAATTAATTAATTAAAAAAAAAGAATTTTATGCAAAGAAAAAAATTTAAGTCCCCCATACAAAGAGGCTTATCTTATGATCTGAGCAGGCCCCCTGGACATGCAGTGTCGGGTGCTTCACCATCGAAAGATTCCAAAAATCCTGGCAGCCACGAGGATCAAGGTAGGACAGCAGCTGTTTCCTTAGGAATCAAGGTCAACAGTGGCATTTGCCATACACAGAACTGTAACGTGGTGTTCCGAAAAGCCATTCCCACAAGTTTCTACTATTCCTTTAAAAATTCTTCTTTTCACAATGAATTTTTAATTATACACCTCTAATCGGAAATTTACAAAATGAGTTAAGCCTTTAACAACACGCTGTTGAAACACAGTGTCTTTATATTTAAGAAATGTGAGAAGATGCAATTCCTCAAAACTGCATTGGAAAATGGTGTGTGGAGGCTACTTTTGCCTAATTCACATACTGAAAGTTTTCGAAAGAGGAAACAGAGCTCACAAAGAGCTTTCTTCATAAATAGATCTCGGTTTCTATCATAGTCATAACAAAATTATGACTCGTGATCAATGTGGGGATGTTAGAATTTTGGTGAAGCAGCCCAGGAAAGATGTTAACCCATATTTCCAAAGGCTACACAGCTGATCGGCATGTCATGTACCAGACCCTTCCCTGAGTTGTGGCGGCCATATGTCTTAACTCTCCTGTGCCTCATGAGAAGCAACGAGCTCCCATGCAGTGGGCATGATGATCAACCGTTCTTTGTTTTAACCAAGAGCTTGGACGTGAGAAAACCCCTGACAGCAGGCTTCCTAAAGTCAGTAATAATCACGCACACTGTGCACTAGGTCGAGGATGTGGATACACTAGACTTTAAGTGTGTTTTTAGGAGATACAATTATTATTCACACTTCGCCAATAAGGAAACTAAAGCCCGAGAAGGTTAAAGAACTCATCTGATGTCACATCCCATTCCGCCTTATTCAAAGCAACAATAACCACTTCCTCACTTCCCAGAGCCAGACAGCCCTGAGCTAGACGGTGCATTTCGGGTGTTAAGACATGTCTAAGGACGAAGCCTTTCATTAGTTCAATTCCTATTAGCAGGCCCTGTCCTCGGCCCTGCAGACCAGCGAATGGACCATCTGGTGGTAAAGTGAATGGGATGCTCTTCCCAGATCCCGCGCCTGCTTTCAAGGAGGGATAGGGAAGAAGGCACAGTACATAAAATCAGGCCATGAGCCAGTTCTCCTACTGGAATGGGCTAAGAAGTGTAGTAAAGGACAGACAAGTGCTATTCTCAGGTTGAACAAAACCAATCTTTAAGCCACAGCTTTCTACCCAAGTGGCTTTATCATCATGTTCACTCCTCACTGCAAGTTAGGGTTGATGTGGATGGTGGAACTGCACAGTGCCTTCTGGGTACACGGTGTCCCCTCATGATTAGGGCCATGAAGTGGTGAGAGGGGGTCAGGGGATAGGCTGAGTGAGCAGGACACGGTGGGAACCTCACAGAAGTCACCCCGGGGCCTCTCACGTGCTGTGACCAGCTCTTACCTCACCGACCGTTTTCACGTCTTCGCGCCCGTACCAGTCGGGCTCGTAGACTTCATGCAGCGACTCGGTGAGCTTCATGGAAGCCTCTTGCATGCCTAGCATTGGAGAAAAACAACTCCTGTTAGAGAGGGGTAGGTGAGGAGTCCCTTCC